TCACTTCTTGGGTCACTCCTGGTGTCATTTTTGGGGTCACTTTTGGGGTCCTGGGGTCACTTTGGGGTCACTTTGGGGTCACTTTGGGGTCACTCGGTCCAGCGGTGGCCGCAGTGGGGGGCGGTGCAGACGTAGTAAAGCCTCATCGCGTCCTGTGAAATTTGGGGCAAATTTGGGGCATTTCGGGCAAATTCCTGCAGAATTTCCAGCCGAAAAAAAAAAAATTCCTTCCCCCCAAACTCATCAGGATCCACCCCAAAAAATTCTCAAATCCCCCCCCACCCAAAACTTCCCAAAAAAATTCCAAAAAAAAACCCCAAGATACTCTCTCCGCAGAAAAAATCCAAAATCCCCAAAATCTTCCCAAATTTTCCCGCAAAATTCCCTGGGATCCATCCCCAAAATCCCCCCCAAAAACTCATAGGATCCTCTCCCCAAAAAAAAACCCCAAATTCCCCAAAACCTCCCCAAAATTCCCAAAGATTCCTCCCAAAATTCCCTTGGATCCCTCCCAAAAATCCCAAAAAAAATTTCCCCAAAAATCCTAAAATCCCTCCCAAAAAAACCCCAAAACCCCCCAGGATCCTCTCCCCAAAAAAAGCCCAAAACCTCCCCAAAATTCTCCCAAAATTCCCAAAGATTCCACCCAAAATTCCCTGGGATCCATCCCCAAAATCCCCCCCAAAAACTCATAGGATCCTCTCCCCAAAAAAAACCCCAAATTCCCCAAAACCTCCCCAAAACTCCCCCAAAATTCCCAAAGATTCCTCCCAAAATTCCCTTTGGATCCCTCCCAAAAATCCCAAAAAAAATTTCCCCAAAAATCCTAAAATCCCTCCCAAAAAAACCCCAAAACCCCCCAAGATCCTCTCCCCAAAAACACCCCAAAACCTCCCCAAAATTCTCCCAAAATTCCCAAAGATTCCTCCCAAAATTCCCTTTGGATCCCTCCCAAAAATCCCAAAAAAATTTCCCCAAAAACCCTAAAATCCCTCCCAAAAAAACCCCAAAACCCCCCAGGATCCTCTCCCAAAAACACCCCAAAACCTCCCCAAAATTCTCAAAGATTCCCAAAATCCCCTGAGATTCCAAAAAAAATCCCAAAATCCTCTGGGACCCCGCCCCAAAAAACTCCCAAAAAAACCCCAAAACCCCCCAGGATCCTCTCCCCAAAAAAACCCCAAAACCTCCCCAAAATTCTCCCAAAATTCCCAAAGATTCCACCCAAAATTACCTGGGACCCATCCACAAAAAACTCCCCCAAAAAACCCCAAAATGCCCAAAAAATTTCCCCCAAAAAAACCCCAGGATCCTCTCCCCAAAAAAACCCCAAAATTCCCCCAAAATTCCTCCCAAAATCCCCTGAGATTCCAAAAAAATCCCAAAATCCTCTGGGACCCCACCCCAAAATCCCAAAATCTCCAGAAAAACCCAAAACCCCTCCCCAAAATCCCCCCAAAAAATCCCCAAAATCCAAAAAAACTCCTCCAAAAAACCCCAAAATCCACCCAAAAAAATCCCCCAAAAAAACCCCAAAATCCCTCCCCAAAATCCCAAAAAAATCCTCCAAAAAAACCCAAAATCCCCCCCAAAAAACCCCAAAATCCCCAAAAAAAACCCCAAAACACCCCAGGAACCAAAGAGTTTTTGGGGTTTTTTGGGAGGATTTTGGGAGAATTTTGGGGTTTTTTTGGGAAAGAATTTTGGTGGTTTTGGGGAGAATTTTGGGGTTTTTGGGGAGAATTTTGGGGATTTTTGGGGAGGATTTTGGGAGAATTTTGGGGAGGATTTTAGGGGTTTTTTGGGAAAAATGTTGGGATTTTTTGGGCAGAATTTTGGGAATTTTGGGTGCTGCTCTGACCTCGGCGCGGGCGCTGTGCGACTGGAAGAACACGGCCTCCTTGTGCCCGCACCTGCAGGACACAAAAATGGCCCAAATGTCCCCAAAATGTCCCCAAATGTCCCCAAATGTCCCCAAAATGTCCCCAAAATCTCCCCAAAATGTCCCCAAGAGTCCCTAAATGTCACCAGGTGTCCCCAAAATGTCCTAAAATGTCCCCAAATGTCCCCAAATGTCCCAAAATGTTCCCAGATGTCCCCAAAATGTCCCCAAATGTGTCCAAAATGTCCCCGAGTGTCCCTAAATGTCCCCAAAAGTCCTCAAATGTCCCCAAAATGTCCCCAAATGTCTTCAAAATGTCCCCAAAATGTCCTGAAATGTCCTCAAATGTCCCCAAATGTCCCCAAAATGTCCCAAAATGTCCCCAGGTGTCCTCAAAATGTCCCCAAATGTCCCCAAAATGTCCCCAGATGTCCCCTAAATGTCCCCAAAAGTCCCCAAAATCTCCTAAAATCTCCCAAAATGTCCCCAAAAGTCCCCTAAATGTCCCCAAAATGTCCCCAAATGTCCCTAAAATGTCCCCAAATGTCCCTAAATGTCACCAGGTGTCCCCAAAATGTCCCCAAAATCTCCCAAAATGTCCCCAAATGTCCCCAAAATGTCCCAAAATGTCCCAAAATGTCCCCAAATGTCCCCAAAATGTCCCTAAATGTCACCAGGTGTCCCAAAAATGTCCCCAAAATGTCCCCAAATGTCCCTAAAATGTCCCCAAATGTCCTCAAATGTCCCCAAAATGTCCTGAAATGTCCTCAAATGTCCCCAAATGTCACCAAAATGTCCCCAAATGTCCTCAAATGTCCCCAAATGTCCCCAAATGTCCCCAAAATGTCCCCAAATGGTCCCCAAATGTCCTCAAATGTCCCCAAAATGTCCTGAAATGTCCTGAAATGTCCCCAAATGTCCCCAAATGTGTCCAAAATGTCCCCGAGTGTCCCTAAATGTCCCCAAAAGTCCTCAACATGTCACCAAGTGTCCTCAAATGTCCCCAAATGTCCTCAAATGTTTCCAAATGTCCTCATATCTCCCCAAATGTCCCCAAAATGTCCCCAAAGTTTCCACAAATGTCCCCAAATGTTTACAAATGTCCCCAAAATGTCCCCAAGTGTCCCTAAATGTCACCAGGTGTCCCCAAAGTGTCCAAAAATGTCCTCAAAATGTCACCAAATGTCCTCAAATGTCACCAAGTGTCCCCAAATGTTCTCAAGTGTCCCCAAATGTCCCCTTAATGTCCCCAAAATGTCTCCAAATGTCCCCAAGTGTCCCCAAAATGTCCCCAAGTGTCCCTAAATGTCACCAGGTGTCCTCAAAATGTCCCCAAAATGTCACAAAATGTCCCCAAATGTCCCAAAATGTCCTCAAATGTCCCCAAATGTCCCAAAATGTCCCCAAATGTCCCCAAAATGTCCCCAAAATCTCCCAAAATGTCCCAAAATGTCCCAAAAATGTCCCCAAGAGTCCCTAAATGTCACCAGGTGTCCTCAAAATGTCCCAAAATGTCCCCAAAATGTCCCCAAATGTCCCCAAATGTCCCCAAATGTCCCAAAATCTCCCAAAATGTCCCCAAATGTCCCCAAATGTCCCCAAATGTCCCCAAATGTCCCCAAAATGTCCCCAAATGTCCCAAAATGTCCCAAAATGTCGCCAAAATGTCCCCAGATGTCCCCAAATGTCTCCAAAATGTCGCCAAAATGTCCACAAATGTCCCAAAATGTCCCCAAATGTCCCCAAAATGTCCCCAAATGTCTCCAAAATGTCCCCAAATGTCCCCAAATGTCCCCAAATGTCCCCAAAATGTCCCCAAATGTCCCCAAAATGTCCCAAAATGTCCCCAAATGTCCCCAAAATGTCCCAAAATGTCCCCAAATGTCTCCAAAATGTCGCCAAAATGTCCACAAATGTCCCAAAATGTCCCCAAATGTCCCCAAAATGTCCCCAAATGTCCCCAAATGTCCCAAAATGTCCCCAAATGTCCCCTAAATGTCCCAAAATCTCCCAAAATGTCCCCAAATGTCCCAAAATGTCCCCAAAATGTCCCCAAATGTCCCCAAATGTCCCAAAATGTCCCAAAATGTCCCCAAAATGTCCCAAAATCTCCCAAAATGTCCCCAAAATGTCCCCAAATGTCCCTAAATGTCCCCAAATCTCCCAAAATCTCCCAAAATCTCCCAAAATGTCCCCGTGTCCCCAGGGCTGACTTCTGGCAGGGGTGATCCTCGGTGCGGGGCAGGGTCGGGTCCTGCGAGACGTCGGCGATGATCTGAGTCAGCTCGCTGGGGAGAGCCAAAAATTCCCAAAATCAGCCCAAAATTCCAGCCAAAATTCCCAAAAAACCAAAAATCCCCAAAACTCCCCCAAAATACACCCAGAATAACCCAAAATTCCAGCCAGAATTCCCAAAATTTAACCCAAAATTAACCCAAAACTCCACCAGGTGATGATCGGAGTCAGCTCGCTGGGGAGAGCCAAAAATTCCCAAAATCAGCCCAAAATTCCCAAAAATCCCAGCCAGAATTCCCAAAATTTTGGGAACATTTTGGGATAATTTTTGGGAACTTTTTGGGGTCATTTTGGGAATATTTTTGGAACAATTTAGGGAAATTTTGGGGATGTTTTGGGGCCATTTTGGGAATATTTTTGGGGAAATTTTGGGGAAATTTTGGGGATATTTTGGGAATTATTTTTGATAATTTTTAGGAATATTTGGGGATGTTTGGGAATATTTTGGGGACATTTTGTGGATATTTTCACTTATTTTGGGAATAATTTGGGAATATTTTGGGATAATATTGGGGATATTTTGGGAACATTTTGGGATAATTTTTGGGATATATTGGGGATATTTTTGGAACAATTTAGGGAAATTTT